TCATGCTGTTTGAAAATACAGTATAGACTTCGGAATTGGGTAGCGTTTCCAACCCCGCTGAAATGCCCGGCCGGGAGTGGTGGGAGTGCACAGCCAACAGTAAGATGTGTCTTTTGTCACATCCAGAAAGGACACCAGGGAGTGCCTTCCCTCCAGCCCTGTGACATCTCCAACATCTGACTAGCATCTCAGGGCAGTTTCTTAAGAAAGCGTCAGAAGATGCAGCATCAGACAGAGTACAGTTAACCCCAGAATTTGGCGTCACGCTGCTCCATTGCCGGGTGGGGTGCTTAGTTTCTCTGGCAGCCCTATGTGAATAGGAGGGTTTTCACTTTTGGGAAAGGTACCCAGTCTGGTGGTGATGAAATAGGTTTTCTCTCTGTACTCCCAGGTGAACCCTCTGCAGTCTGTCATTTCTTGGAATCCTCTTAACCCATCTTAGAATTATCTCCCAGCATCAGATTTTGCTTATTAAGGAAACCAGGCATTGTGAAATGCCCCTTTCTACACTAATCTGAAAGACATAAATAGTGGCAGAGAATGTTAGACATAGAGCTGGAAATTTCAGAGACTTTTGTTTCGAAGAATCATCACTCTCCTGCAGGAACTGCACAAAACACTTGGTCCCTGTCTGCACATGCCTGCACATACAGAGAGAGGCCCTAATCAGTGGCTCATGGACAGCCTTCTATCACAGCTACCCGCTTTTCTCTATTATCTTCCCTTCTCTTCCACTCCATGTTTCTCCTGACTCTCATTCATGCATCATGGCTTGGGCGCTTGGGCTGCCTTTTTCATTTGGGACAACATGGTGCAGCAACGGCCTCAAGTTTGTCAGAACTTCTCAAATGCCCCACAGTCGTCATCTTTGAAGCCAGACCCAAATGTGGTTGTCTTGGTGATTACTGGGCATTGTCTAATCCAGGAAAAAACACTCTTTTGTAATGGATCTGCAGTTTTGCCATTTTAAAATTTATTGGGTTGATGCAAAAATAATCGCAATTTTTGCCATTAAAAGTAATGGCAGAAAGTAATTAAAAATAGTCCAGGCACAGTAGCTCACGCCTGTAATCCCAGTAATTTGGGAAGCTGAGGCGGGCAGATCATGAGGTTGAGAGATTGAGGCCATCCTGGCCAACATGGTGAAACCCTGTCTCTATTAAAAATACAAAAATTAGCCAGATGTGATGGTGCACACCTGTAGTCCCGGCTACTCGGGAGACTGAGGCAGGAGAATCACCTGAACTGGGGGGGGCGGAGGTTGCAGTGAGCCGAGATCGCACCACTGCACTCCAGCCTGGCAACACAGTGAGATTCTGTCTCAAAACAAAACAAAAAAAGTAATTAAAAGTATGGCAAACACCGAGATTACTTTTGCACCAACCTTAATATCTTGTACATACTTAGGAATGGACACAGCGCTTTCCTCTCAAATTCTCGGAATGACGTCATTGATTCCGTGTTTCTACATATTTACTTGGTGGTTTACATTTATATACATTGTGACCGTAAACCCAGAAAATCATAATGCCTTTTAGTAGAGTAGCCTTTTGTGGTGGGGTGCGTGGGGGTGGGTGTTGTTTTGGCCTGATCCCAAAAGCAAGGCATTCACCTCCCGATGATTGTGAGGCTTCCCGGAGAGCACCCCAGCCGGGGAGCAGTCTTCAGTTGCTGCTTCCTGTAAACAGGGCACCGAGTGAGAAGCAGCCTCCTGAACACATGCACCAACATGAATGTGTCTGTAAACTCCTAATTGAGAGTGATAAGCCTGCCACCAGACTCTGAAGAGCTGGCATCTTTGTAGGTCACAGGTTGCGGAGAAAGGTAAGCTCAGTGCGCTGATTGACACTTGGAGCAGTTACATTGTTCTGCGGCCTTCGGGGGTTACTGTGGTTTGCAGGGGAGCTGCCATCAGATCTTTGCCTGAGACTGTAGGCTCAAGCCTTCTGAAGGCCCCCACAGTCACTGCAAGGGGAGCAACATGGAAATGAGCTTCATTGTCTAGAATTTCGAAAAGCCCTGCAGCTATGGGGTGACAGCAAAACTCTGAGCAAAAGTCCGGGCGAGCAGGGAACTATGAACAACTTGTAAGAGGTGTGGTTCATTGAATCCAGCCTCAGAGCAAGAGTTTTCATGTTTTCAGAATGAAGGTGCATTTTTTAAAAACGTACTAGGTACTTACCCCAGGCCATGGTTTGACCTGCAGATGACTTCAACTTTTGGAACGATGGAATGCAGAATGAAAACTGAAAGTATAGCTGAAAACAAAAGCACAAGAAGATGGTTATCTTTCTCTCTAGCACTACTGAACTATTACCTTAGGAAGAATATATTTAGAGCATGGAAGTCTATTAACTTCTCCTCATTTTAAATGTTATTTTTAATTACAGAGCCACTTAGAAAATATTCTAGCTTTTCATGTTAGTGTTTTCTTCTCTTTCTTATCCCAGTGTAGATAAGCCAATTTCTTTTACATATCTGAGCTGGTCATTAATAAAGAAAAACTCAGCATTAGTAACCATTCATGATTCCTCAGAAACACGAAATTCCACATTCCAGCATGTGTTACATTAAGTGGAAAGATTTGTCTAATTACTAGAAAGTTTCCTAAAGCATGCTGTCCTCACAGTTCAGGTGAAAAAACAAAACAAAACAAAAAAACAAACTTGATTTTGAAGTAGGTCTTTCAAATCAGGGCAAGAAAAATATTACTTCTGAAAGTCGTATGCAACACCTGTAACCAGTGCATCCCTTCTTGTCTCTGGTCCTCATTACAGTCATGTCACACCCTCTCACCCGCTTATCCCGGAAGGCTGCTGGGCAGAAGCCCCTGAGCTGCTGGCACCATGGAGAGAGGAGTTGAGGGGCTGGGGCAGTGCCGTGCATGCGTGCAGCTCTCTTACTTGAGGCTTCCAGGAGACTTGATGGATTTCAAAACATTGTTCAAGATCTCCCTTCGTTGGTGACACCAAGATGTTCATGTGGAACCCACCCAGCACCCCCCAACCACCTCCCTTCCCGAGGAAGCCATCATGGGACAGGCGGTGACAGCTTTTTTAATTTTTTGTTTATCTATTTATTTTTTGAGACAGAGTGTCGCTCTGTTGTCCAGGCTGGAGTGCAGTGGCGCGATCTCGGCTCACTGCAAGCTCCACCTCCCGGGTTCACGCCATTCTCCTGCCTCAGCCTCCCGAGTAGCTGGGACCACAAGTACCCGCCACCACGCCTGGCTAATTTTTTGTATTTTCGGTAGAAACGGAGTTTCACCGTGTTAGCCAGGATGCTCTCGATCTCCTGACCTCATGAGCCACCCGCCTCAGCCTCCCAGAGTGTTGGGATTACAGGCGTGAGCCACCGTGCCCGGCCAGCTTTATTTTTATTAGATGGAGTCTCATCTCGCTTTTTCACCTAGGCTGGAGTGCAGTGGCACCATCTCTGCTCGCTCCAACCTCCGCCTCCCAGGTTCAAGTGATTCTCCTGCCTCAGCCTCCCTAGTTGCTTTGATTACAGGCATGTGCCATCACACCTGGCTAATTTTTGTATTTTTAGTAGAGATGGAGTTTCACCATGTTGGCCAGGCTGGTCTTGAACTCCTGACCTCAAGTGATCCGCCTGCCCCAGCCTCCCCAAGTGCTGGGATTACAGGTGTGAGCCACTGTACCCAGCTGGTGACAGCTCTTGATGCCAAACCCCTGCTTGAACACAGAGGCATCTGATCTGCCGTGAAGTGCTGCAGCACGTGGCAATCTCATGTTCAGCACCCCCATTTTTAATATGTGTCTCTATTTACATGACGTAGGAAGGTGTCATCCACAAAGTGCGTTTTTCCCTCTAAACAAACGTTTCATACATTTATTGAATCCTCAAAATGGGAAGAACCTCAGAGATGACTGATTGTGAAGCATATCCCAGAGAGTGTGTGTGCCTCCAGAGTGTAGACTCAGAATAGTGGAGCCTGAACGAATCCCAGAGGCCATCTCCTCTGAAGTGCATGCTTGGCTGAGAAGGCTAAGCCCCAAAGAGGCCCCTGAAATTCCCAAAAAGCACACCAGATTATGATAGCCAACCCTCATCCCAGCCTGCCCAACCCTGCTTTGCACTTTTTTCCATTATCGTATGAAATTAATGTCTTCTGTCTCTTTCTTCCAGAGAAAAATTATAATAATTCTTTTAATCAGGGTAGCAAGACATTTGACAAAATTTTCTTAGACCTTGGCATTAGATTTTAATGTTGCAGAGAGTTTTTCACTAGTGAAAACAGTATTGACATAAGTTAGAAATAGATTCCATTCAGGTCTGTGAGTCTTTGCTAATTCCAGGGTCTGTCAAGTTCAGTGTAAAAGTCCCTTTGGCAGCTCACTGGCTCTGTTCTCCTGAGCTGATACCTTGGTACTTGTTTGATTTGGCCAGAATTACATGATGTGTTGCTTTGTATATACATCTTTACACATATTTCAAGAAAGTTTATTTCTAAATTCATAGCATTGTTTTCTTCCCCTTACTGGAGAATGTTCTGTTTTAATGTTTCGGCTCCTTTTTATTTCCTCTGTGTGTGTGTGTGTGTGTGTGTGTGTGTGTGTGTGTGTGTGTGTGTGTGTGTTTGTTTTAGACAGAGTCTCACTCTGTTGCCCAGTCTGGAGTGCAGTAGTGTGGTCTCAGCTCACTGTAAACTCCAACTCCCAGGCTCAAGTGATACTCCTGCCTCAGCCTCCCAAGTAGCTGGGATTACAGGCGTGCGCCACCACACCTGGCTAATTTTTGTATTTTTAGTAGAGACGGGGTTTCACCATGTTGGCCAAGCTGGTCTCAAACTTCTGACCTCAGGTGATCTGCCCACCTTGGTCTCCCGAAGTGCTGGGATTACAGGCATGAGCCACTGTGCCCGGCCCGCAGTGTCTCTTAAAATATTTACATTTTCTACCTAATTTTTATAATTTGCAATTTATTATTCAAAGGCCTTTTTATCTTACTGATAAGATATATTACAAAGTCATTTCTGTAAGAGTTTATAAATCTTAAACATTTATTTGTTCCCCAGTGTCCTGTTTTAGCATTTTAACAGAAAGTAACAGTCTCCTACTTATTTGGAAACTCAGTCACAAAGTAACTGAATAAACTTTTTATACAAAGCAAAAAAAGAAAAAAGTAAACACTTCTAAGATCAGCCTTCTCTTTTGAAATACCTTTACACTGAGGTATATTTATTTACAAAAGACAAATATATGCTTACATTTTATAGAACATCTAAGTTTTATTGAAATATGAGCAAATCAGTAGCCATGTACAGTCGCCCCCTTCGTTCACCCTGGGACTTGTGCATCGGCCAGACTCCCGGAACGTCAGCTGCGTGCGGCGTGCGGAGAACTGCGATCTCATTGTCTGAATTATCTGAAATGTTTGAATGCGGAGAGGGTCCTACTCTTCATTAGAAAGAAACTTAACCAGTACCGTAAATATGTCCAAGTCCTCTTAAAAAGTCCAATTTACTGATACGTGGGGCACATTTTTTTCATTTTTAAAAAGTTGGAATGGGCACCTTAAAGCAAACATTTGAGAAAGAAGAAAAATAATACAAATATATTACTTAGAAAACAATACAAAAGTGTCTCAGACCAAAAAAATAAAAAAAAAAATACGAAAGTGCCCATTCCATGTTGCCATTAGACCAACCAGTCTTCAGACAGGACTGTCACCATCAATTTTTCATTTTTAAAGGATTTTAATTCTTTCAGCATGCTCATATGGTTTTCTAAAGCCCCAGATACCCAGCAAATCCCCTTGGTGTTGTAAGACAAGATTGCTGTTAAAAAACGTTTAGGCTTAGTCAGCTTCTTCTCACTGCTGACTTCACGAGGGGCTCTGGGAAATAGTGTTTATACTGAGCTTAAATTGATAGGGCAGGTTTAATGCAACTGGGTCAAAGGTACAACTGCTTAGCTGGGCTCATCAACCACTCAGGTTTCACCATGGGTTTATAAAGAGCAGTCTGTAATGATAACATCTGGCTGCTTGAGCGTGACTGCATTTTGCCTACTATGATTGAATGGAATTTAATGGTGGGAGGAGAAAAGCTGGGGCAATTTCATTCTTGAGTTATGGTTCTAGATAGATAAGGCAAAATGGTAGACTTTGATCAGTCTGAGCCCGGCCATCTCGCAGTTGGCTTAACAGACCTGCTTCTTCCATAGAACCCTGCCGTCACCACTCTCAAAGACAGCTGCCCTCACTGGGTCCATGGTAGGGGCAGGGGGTGGGCCCAGCTGCTCTGGGCTCATGTGTGTCTGCATACCAGGCCTCGTCTTTGGCCTTGCTCTTCTCACTGAGTTCTGACTTGTTGCTCTCTGAAGCCTGCGAAGGTCCTAGCACTCAGCAGAAAGCACGGTGCCCGTCTCCCAGAGGGTGCTCCATTAATGGGAGAGTTGATTCCATTCACTGCTGGACAGAAAGTGGATAGAAAGCCAGTGCCAAGCTGAGTTCAGGCTGTCAAAGAGAGGAAGTGAAGAAGTTAGTTCCCAGTCTCCACCATCGTTCCACTTAGAAGGACACTGTGACCTTCAGGATCAAAAATGTAAATGTGTCGTAAGTCAGCTGTAGACGTTACAGGAGAAGCCTACTACACAACACCTCCAGAGAGGAAGCAATTTAACCATAGCTCGGGATCCCAAGGGTCCTTTTCATTCTGTGGAAACTCAATCATTCCATTAGTGATCACACAACCGTCATGTGAAAACCTGACTGTATAATTTCATATTGCTTACGGTCTTTTATAGTCTTCTCAACTTTACCTTTGGATCATTGAGTGTATAACTTTTAAATTTGCAAGAACTTTTAATATAAACAAGTAGGTAGGCGAACAGGCAGGAATTTACCTCCCTGGTGTAACTAAGCTGAGAGAATAGAGGAAGGGTCAGGGCCGTACACTTGGCACTTAACCATGTTTCCTCCATAAAGAAGAAATATTCTTGGTCTTGTGCATCCTCAGGACCAACAGGAGAGGAACCATAGCCCACCAGATCCACACTGTAAAACAAAGACGACAGAGAAAAGGAGGGGACGCAGGTACTGGGGTGCAGGGGAGAGGATGCTGGGCAGAGCAGGACTGCCGTCTCTGGGATCTGAGAGCTACTTGACCCTCAGGGACTCTCACGGCCTTAGCTGCTTCATCCATAACAAGGGGCAAATGCCTAATCAATTCACTTCCCATATACTCAGCCCGATTATGTGAAAGCCCTTCTGTAGACCAGAAGCCCTGTGTGAATGGAAGTGTCACTGTCACTCCTCCACTGATGACCCACTTGGCTGAACTCTGTTAATGTGCCCAGAGGTCAAGTTTGACTCCTCCAAGTCACTGAAATTAAAAATACGGTCTCCAAAAGGAAATAGTCTACGTATTATAGGACTCAACTTGGATACCAAATCCAAACCTGCCAGATATAGTAAGGTGACATTTAGAAAGTAGTTCTTATTTGAGCTCAGGAGAGCTTTTTCTCACAGCAAGCTTCCTTGCAGCCTTAAGACATGATGATATGTACACAGACCCTGTTCTTTTAGGGCTGTTTAGTTATTATGTGTAGCAAGGCACACGCGTGTCCTCCTTCATCCTGTTGTTGCCCATGGAGGTGGAGTATGTGGCCGCCAGAGAGCAGAAAGGAGGCCTCCTGCTCTGGTCCTGGTAAAAGAAGGAAACCAAGACATCGAAAACAACAGCAGAGCCTTCTGCCCCGTGCACCTCCCTGTCAGATCTCGTTCCTACCCAAATGGGTAATGGGGAGGAAAACGGGAGAAAGTAATGTATAAAGTGAACCCCATATAAGTTTTCTGTTGTACTAGCAAGCCAAAGGTCTGTCTCCCTTCCCCTTTTACGTTCATATTTCATTATCACTTTTGATTCTTAGGCTGGCCCATTACCTCCCTCAAACATGGAATTGAAACAAATCCCTTTAAAGCAATCATGGTTATATATATTGTGCCCTTAAAAGCATAAGCCACCTCAGAATACCGTGATCAAAGATAAACTGCCAACTGCACTTCCACCAGTCATACTCCGTCCAGGAGATGTGCGTACTCTGTGGTAGAGATGTGCAAAGCCCACTGAATATGCAGAAGTGTATCTGTATTCACATAGCACGGTGTCGTGTGTGAGTGATCCTGGTGGACAATACCGAAGTGACAGTGTTCATTCCACAGATAGGGCGCTTTTAACTGTAGTTTCAAAATGTTTCTACTGCGCTATACCTTGGGTATCAATGAGATTTTTAAAAAATCCCTACCCCATGTGAAGCCTCTTTACTGCTATATAATCACTAGTAGTTTCCAAATTAAATATTATGCTTAAATTATTGGACATTAGCATTTCTCCCTAACTGTTAGGCTAGAACTGCGGCTGATCAGGGAATAGTTTACTTGAATCTCAAACATGTCCATATGACAGAGAGACACAGTAAATCACCTCTCACCAATATGGCATATACTCAAAAGCACATTGCTTTCAGCTTCCTTGTGTGGTTGTCTGTGCTGGACCCGTAGGAGTGGCCAGACACCATGGATCGGGGGCTCCAGGGAGAACAGGACACTCATTCATCTCAGGCCTCTCTAAGGAGAAGTAATTCCTCTCCTCTGGAGAGAAGATTCCCGGTCTCCCATGTGAGTGAACGACGAAGTTGTAAGAATGCTCCTCCACCTCACTGTTGGTGACAGAGGACAGTGTGGTTCCGGGGGTGGGCAGGTGAGAGGGTCCAGAGAGTGAAGGAGATGCTCGGATGATCCAGAAATCTGGGGCCAGCTCGTTGGTCCAGACTTTCATTAGTTTTGACTGAAGGCTGACACAAGATTCATGTAGCAAAGAGCAGATTCTCGGCCTTACAAAGAAATGATAAAGATTCCAAGAGTTGATTTTTGGAGTAAGAATGGGTAACATTCTTATGTGTAGTAAATGTGACTAGGTTACTTTTTTTTCTTTTTATAATCTACTTTTAGCCTAATTATTGTAAAGAAACTATAACAGGGCATGCATGTGCTTTATTTGTTGAAATAAATGTAAGCACTTATTCAACAAGTTCTTACTGGGTGCCTACCATGTGCCAGGCACCACGCTGAGTCCTGAGTGCTAAGCCAGTAGGTGACTTATTCCAACAAATTACGACAAATAAATTACATGCTCCCATTCTAAGAGGAGGGCACAGACCACAGACAAGTGAATAACATGTCAGGAGGAGATCTGTGCTATGAAGAAAAATAAAGCAGGGTAAAAGGTGATCAAGGAAGGCCTCTCTAATGAGACATTTCGGCAGAGGAAATGAGGGAGCAGGCCACACGGATCTTCACCGGACACCAGGGGACTCCTGTGCAAAGGCCCTGTGGCAGGTATATGCTTTGCCAGATGAAGGAACAGCAGTGGGGCCAGTATTCCTGGCACAGAGAAGTGGTGAGGGTGGCAGCCACAAGCAGTCACATAAGGTGCTGCAGGCCAGTGGTAGGGTTGGGGTTCCAGGCTGTGAGGAGGAGAGCCGCCGTGTACTTGGCATTCACAAGAGCACCACTGGTACCTTCGGAAGAATTCTCTAGGGGCAAGGATAAAGGCGGGGAAAAAGGAGCTTGGTGTCCTGCTCTTCTAGAAGAGATGATAGCTAAAATCTCTTCTAGCGAACTTTGGGACGTTTCAGTTAGGCCGGTAAGAACAAGAGGCAATCTGGGGGTGCTTTGGTGAAGGAGGTCCCACAGTTCAGACTGAACTGGGCTCCTAAATGAAAACAGTGGCTGCCTTTTCGGAGCCAACGACTGCACTGTGCTTCTGTGCATCCGTCACTTCCCAGCATCCCTAACGGAGATTGCAGAGATGCCCCGAGTTGTATTTCTCTCCCTTTCCTTCTCAGTGCATGTTCTAGAAAAGCCATAAGACACTAAGAAAAGCTACAGGCTGCTCTTAAGTGTCATATTTGAGCAGTAAGTTCTAACAAATTCTATTTTAGGTTTGACATCTGGCTAAAGGAGATCAGAGAAAGAAATGTCATATTTGAAACGAAAAGGTCAAGCCCCTTACCATATCCAGAAAGGAGGGAAGTAGGAAGCTTTTAGTAAAATAAATAAATGCAAACCTATATCCTTATTCTGACAGTCTCGTTGGGAGGATTCATACACTGTGGAAGTTTTGCTTCTGAATCTGTGCTCATTCTTTACTCAGCAAACTTCAGTTTATCCCCAAAGTAGCATTCCTCCCAGCCGACTGCCCTCAGCGTCTTGGCAGGAGAGAACACAAAATGTTATGCAGCAGTAAGCCCTAAATTTGTGTTTCTGCCAAATAATTGGGAAAATGTTGGAATGATTTTTTTCAGCTCAACTTTGTTAAGAATGTAAGGCATTTCCCTTGGCTCTCAGGACAGTATACATACATTGACATAAACCAACGATGTCATATATACAGTCCACTCGACTGCCTCTCCTTGGATGTTCCAGTGGTACAGACAGGCCTGGACCTCCCACTCCTACCTCTGGGCCCTCCCCCTCTCTCTGAGACTCTGTCCTCAGATCAACTGTGCTTCTTTGTGTGGGAACTCTAATCCTTTGATGCCAAGGTACTAGTCACCCATGCCACAGGTTCCAGAATTCAAAGTGGAGCCCTCCGCACACAGGGTGCTGCTATCATTTCTCCGGCTCTTCCCAGAGGCCCTCCTGCCATGTCACTGATCCCAACGTCCAGAGTCCGTACCTGTCTCAGGTGGTGTGGGGTCACCATCATCATCCAGACGTGGACTTGATTCTAATTCTGCCTGAAAACTCACCATTGTCACCTCCATGTCCCAGTGCTAAGATAAGAATAAGATGAAGTCATGTTCACCTGGTGGAGCTGATCTGAGGATTCAACAAATTAATGCTGTAAAGATCTGGAACACAGAAGGCACCAAGAAGTGCTGGCTCCCTTCCCTCTTTTCCCAGTCCTGCACAACGCCTTCCAGCCACGCAGTTCCTCTCCCTCCACCAGCAGCTTTGCAGCCAGAGCAGGTCGCCATTTGCAACTCCCGGTGCAGGAGCAGTAGTATCTCATCTAGTTCTCAGGTCCTTCCTCCATCTCCCCAGTGTAGCTGTCTGTCACGGGTTTTTTGATGACCCTCAGATGATAGCCTCCTCCTACCCATGCTTCCTCCATTTTCTCCGCCCTCGGGCGCCCGCCCCTTGACAGTGACATCTGACTGTCCACTGCCAGCTCCACTCAGCAGCAGGGAATGCTGAAGCAAGGGCTGCACTCCCCATCCCTGCAGCTGGACCCAGCAGTGGATTTGCTAGAGCTCGCTCTTGCTCACTTGCTCTCTGTCAGACTCTTACTAACTCTTTTGGGTTGGAACGTGGTTGAGGAAGATCGGGGCAGGGTCCTCTGACAGCCTGTCAGCAGATCTGCAGCCACAGTCCCGCGTGCTGGGGATGGCGAGGGCTGGGGAGTGGGTGAGCCTCTTGACCTGCCACCAGCACGCCTCCATGTGTGCTGGATCAGGTGCTTCTAAATTACGTTCCCAGACCCACTCAGGCTTGTTGTGTGGCCTCAAGCAAGCCACTTAACCTGTCTGTTTCCTTATATGTCAAATGGAGGTAATCATACTTAACGACATCACAGGGGTGTCATACATATTAATTAATTAATGTTTGTAGTGAGCTTTGAAGATGCAAAGCTGCTTAAGTGTTGAAGTATTCTGATGATAGTCCTTGCATGTTATTAGAACCTTCCCAGGTTCCTGGACCATCACTCACTGATTACAACTAGGATCTAATAGCACCTGCTGTGCAATCCACTCAGGGATCTATGGCACGACCCATGAGGATTTAACTCAAGTGGATAATTTGAAAAAGATCAGTGAGGCCTGTACCCAGACTTGAGGCCAGTTACAGGGCTCCTCAGCAGTTTTCCAGAAGCCGAGAGGACTGCCTCATGGTATTCGCTGCAATTGGTGTTCGTTGTAATCATGTGGGAACTCTGATCCTTAGATGCCAAGGTACCAGTCACCCAAGCCACATCTTTTATGTGGCGCTGCTCAGATACTGATTGAAAACTGCTTGCTGGGACTTGTGATCTGCCATATCTCAAGGTCATGATGGGAGAAAATGGAGGCCGTCTGGTATGATCAGCTCTGATTTATTTACAAACCCGTGGAACTATGCTGGAAAGAAAGAGTTACTAATATGGTTGTCTTCTAGGCAGCTCTCAAAGACTCCAGATCTGCATAGGAATATTCTTTGCCACCAACATCTCCTGTCATCTTGTATTGCCTGTACTTCACAAACTAAATTGGTAGGTTGAATTCAGGTACTAGATACTAATAATCAGAATAGAGAGAATCCAACTCCCAAATCTGGTTTGACATATGCCTCTTATTCAGTTGATCTGCGTCCCTGCTTCTCGCAGCTTTGATCACACTGCCTGACGACTTGAACCAGAAGTGTGATTCCTGTGCCTTTTCCTTGTTGACACGTGTCTTCATTTTCTCCTACTGGATGTGCTACATGTGACCCCCTACGTCCGTTTTCCTCCCCAGCCTCTCCACAGAAATGCGTCCCGTGTCTGCAGTATTTTCAAAGTTTCAGAAAGCCAAAGTGGTGCTCTTAGTTTTCTGGGCACGTTGTGTTGTTTTTGTGTCTTTTGAATTTTGGATGCTATCAATCTAAAGACACTAAAAGCCCCCACTCTTCAAGATTTGTGTGAAAAATTAACTCTTGATGTTTTAAAATTCCTACAACTGAAATCCTAGACTTTGCCTTAAAAAAATGATGCTGGTCTCAATAGGACCGCTTGCTTGAAATGTAATTGGCACATGGTTTGGTGGCTTTGCCTGGCCCATCCCATGATGATTACCCCCAGATGTGGTCCGCAGGGGCTTTCCAGGAATGCTTTAGCAAGGCAGGATGCGGGTGTACATAACACAGCAAGCACATCTTCTTCTTCAAGGAGCCACTTAGGCACCTGCTGTAAGAACACAACAGGTCCACGGCTGGGGAGCCACGTGACACATGCGGGGTGTGCAGCAGGGATGCTGCCCTGACTGGACGTCGGAGTCTAGGCCACCGAGACTTCCTTTTGGGGTGCACCACAGGGAGCCCAGGTTTAAAAAGGACTCCCTTTTTCTGGTTAACATATATTAACATGTCAGGGAAATGAATTGGGTTTAAACTGGCTGTTACCGGTTTGTTTTTTTTAATGGATATTATGTAACAATTATGATCATCTTTTTACTAGAAGTTTCTGAGTTTCAGTTACTCAGTTTCCTGAATAACAAAGTCCTTTTCAAGTAATTCATTACCGCTGAAAGAATCATTGAAGTTTATTATGATACATGGTCAGAGTGAAAAGTGTCCTCTGCCTGAAACACATTCACTGTATGTGAGTAGGGGTTGGGGGGGGCCATGAGAGAAGCAGCTACCCTATCCCATTGCCCCCTCAATGGCATCTGCCCTTGGCCCACTGGGTGCTGTCACCCACCTGCCAGCCTTTTCCTGTCCATCCAGCCCCTTCCTTGCCTGAACCTATCTGGGTAGACAATATGGATATTACTTATTGGCACAACACCCTGTCACACCCAGAGCAAGGTACCCAGGCTGTAACTGGGAGGACTAGGTTGGAAAGCATGTGAGACAGGCCCCTCCCAAGACAGCCGTAGTCCCAAGAGACCTGCTTTAGTTGAAACTCTGTCCCCATAGGACCTCAATGGGATGAAAGGGTTCTAAAACTGATGTATCATGAACAACTTGCACAAGTTGGTAAAGTTACTAAAGGCCACTGGATTGTGCAGTTGAAATGAGTGAATTTTATGATACATAAAACATGCAACAATGATGTTTAAAAAAAAAAAAAAAGGTCCTGCCACCAAAGATCCCACAACATCCAGTGTCCCCTGCCCAGCCTCCCTCCACCAGAGCAGGAACCACATATGCCCCGCAGAGGCCCATGGTTAATGAGGAGTTTGCCACTGGCCCGCACGGCTGCCCTTTCCACTCTCAGAAGGCCAACAGAAAGTGGTTTGGGGTTTTTTTTCTATTAAACTCAAACCTGCCTCATGTGACTTCTACATATATCTACCCCAAGCAGTTCCAGCCCCTCACCCTTATGAGAGCCGTTCAGGTATTCCAGGACGTCTCTCTTCTCTAAGCAAACTCTCAATGCTCCCCGGATGTTTGTAACTGCAAGCTTGGCTGGGGCAACAGCACCATGCCAGCAAAGTGACTTAGTCAGAATGTCGTCTTCCCAAGCGTGTGCCTCAGTTCCTGGCTGTGAGCTGAAAGCCGAGCTAAATAGTGTCTCAGGCAACTTAAATATTCTAGGTTCTGTGATCTGAGACAAATAATTCCAAATGTATATGTCAATTTTTAAAACCTTACTCTAGACGTATTTATTGTTCTGTGCAAGTATTCTTTAAGAAAACAATTTAATTACCCATTCAGAAAGATGGATTTTTCTTCATTCAACTGAGTATGTCATACAGTAGAGGAAACATTCTGTAACAATGGAGAGCTTCCCCTACCTGTCCAGGAGGACGCCTGTGATGCCCTCTCACCTGGAGAGAGGTGGGCGGAGCACTGGGCTGTGTGGGCACAGGGCCCAGTGCCAGCAGGCGGCGGGATGATGCTGTAGGTTCCTCAGCAAGGCCCAGGTGGAAAAGCCGTCGGGAAGATGCGACTTCGCAAAGTGCAGCTTCAGCTTTGAAACAGTGAACACGTTGAAGGGTCCTCAGTAGAGAAGCAACATCTGCTGGGTGATAACTGGTGTTTTCACCTCAGTCCCCAGGAGGAGATCATGCTGTGTACACCTTCAGTGGGAAGGACTGTGGCATGTATAAAGGCAGCTCATGATGGACCAGCCAAATTGAAGGCAAATAACCCTCAAAATCATTGTCTTTTCACTTGGAATTCAGAGGCACGTTTTCTAGATAATCATTCAGGTATCTATGTGCAAACACACACCCCGGCACTACCAGCCTCTGAGCAGTTCCGAGACAATGCTCCAGAAACTCCAGACCCCAGCGCTACGCAAGGCAGGCCTGCAGAGGCGCCGGTGTGCTGCCCTGCACAGAGCTCACCTCACTTTAAAAAGGGGAGGGGGATGGGATGCCTCCTAGTCTAATTATGGGATTTTTTTTTTTTTTTTTTTTTTTTTGCTTGAGTTCTTTGTTACAAGGATCTTTTAGGAATCAAGAATAAAAGTAATGACAGAGAATTTTGCCCAACTCTCCAGGGAGAGAGGAAGTAAGTAGGATAGAAATTAGTGAGTGCGGGGCACCTGCCCCCGACTGTCATTTCTCATGGAAACGTTCTGAGGCGCCCACATGGTTGCCGCTCCCGCAGGAATACTAAGGACAGGAAATCTGGTCTCGCCTCACAAACTCAGGCAGTGAAAGAGCCGTGTGAACACCAGTTAATAAATGCCTATGTCTGTCTTTAACAACGGAGGGTATCAGTGTCCTGCTTGAAAGCATTCCTGAGCTAGTCAATGTTGTAAAATAATACAGAAAACTGACATTTTTATTGTGGCACGAGTTACCATACAGCGGCTATCTGCTGCCTCATCTGGTTTTTATAATCTGCCATGTTGCTGTCATACTGAGACTTGACCCGCTGTCTTCAGGTACAGCCTCTCTCATTTCAGCACCTGCCTAAGTGCATAAGCACCGCTTCCAGCACAGAGGTTGATGGGTGCTGTCCACTGTGCACCTGTGCTGTCTTTCTGCCTTCGGTCCTCACTCTCCACTCTGTCTGGGGAAGAATGTCCTTGAAACAGAGATTCCAGAAGGCCCATGACACATCATCATGGACTTCATGCTTGTCAGGAGTCTAGAGGCATCAAAGATCTCTTTAAGAGGATTCGTGGTCAGCCATCCATGAATCAGTCAAGAGGACCAAGGCTCCCAAGGAGCCAGTGGTCACCCTGTGCAAAAGAAACCCTCCTACTCTCCCCCACACCAAGGAGCCCCTCTGCAACTGGATAGGGCAGAGTGGCCTTGGGTGAGATGTGTCCCCCGCCACTGAGACCTCCAGCATGGTGCTCTGGGGGGGCCAGACTTCAGTCTTTCCTTGTGGCTAGTGCAGGTAAAGATTGCCTCCTGGGGAGAGGCTGCTTGAAGGGACACTCAGCACTTCTCCAGCACGGTCCTTTACAGGTAGCGTCTCAGCTGTATGGTGGAGACACCGCGTGCAGCCAGGAGCCTATAGCGCAGATCCAGAAGATGGACTTTTTTTTTTTTTTTTTTGAGACAGAGTCTCCCTCTGTCACCCAGGCTGGAGTGCAGTGGTGCAATCTCAGCTCACTGCAGCCTCCGCCTCCCAGGTTCAAGCAATTCTCCTGCCTCAGCCTCCTGAGCAGCTGGGATTACAGGCACGCACCACCATGCCCAGCTAATTTTTGTATGTTTTTAGTAGAGACAGTGTTTCACCATGTTGATCAGGCTGGTCTCGAACTCCTGACCTCGTGATCTGCCCACTTCGGCCTCCCAGAGTGCTGGGATTACAGGCGGGAGCCACTGCGCCCGGCCCCAGAAGATGTGAATTTATGTTTTCCAACAATCAGATCAATCCTACATCACCCTGTGTGCTGACTCACCATTTACGGAGCTCTGCACAGATGTTGTCTCCTTTGAGCCTGAATTTGTGATTTGTGGTGGCAAATCTGTCTGGGGAGCAGGGTGAAAAAAAAAGGGCAAAAACCATTTTTCCAAAATGAATAAATTGCTTCCTCATTGACAAAAATAAGGATAAATCTGGGTCTAATTTAGCCATGTGAATTGTAACTGCCTGTGGAGGTAGTAACTTTCTCTTCCGAGTTGCACAGCAGTGCAGCCCTGCTGCCTCAAACCCAGGTTCCCCAGTGCATGTGCATGCCTCAAATAAGTCAGGGCTGCAGACACAGAACTGAGCTCTTGGAGACAGTAGTGACATTTCAAAAGCTCAAACACCATGGCCAGGAGACCACTCACTCATAAGGCATTTATTTTCTGTTTTAGAAAGTTCCATTAGCCTTATCTGAAAAAAAAATGGGCTAAGTTTTGGAAAATTAATCTTATTAGTTAAGATCAACTTGTATAAATAAAATTCAGGCTAATGCATTTGGCAGATGTCCTAGAGCCAGGGCCATGGAGACAGGTGTCCTGGGTTCCAGCATCAGCTCCACCACCCACTCTCTGTGTCACCTGGGTCCAGTCACTCACCTCCATATGCCTCAGCCTCCACATGTATGACCTGGCGGTGGGGTGTGCGTGACATAACAACGCGATCCTGACTCTGAGGACATTATCATTAACACATATACACTGTGACCAAATTAAATATCCTAAGTTGTTGAATCTGGGAATGTATCTGCAGGCTTATCATGCTCTTGTTTCCAGTTTTGTATAAAAATATGTTAAAGACAACCAGGTGTAGTGGCTCACACCTGTAATCCTAATCCCAGCACTGTGGGAGGCTGAAGTGGGCAGATCACGAGGTCAGAAGTTTGAGACCATCCTGGCCAACACGGTGAAACCCCGTCTCTACTGAAAATACAAAAAATTAGCCAGGTGCAGTGGCTCACACCTGTAATCCCAGCACTGTGGGAGGCCGAGGAGGGCGGATCACGAGGTCAGGAGTTCAAGACCATCCTGGCCAACACGGTGAAACCCCCGTCTCTGCTGAAAATACAAAAAATTAGCCAGGTGTGGTGGCTCACGCCTGTAATCCCAGCTACTCAGGAGGCTGACCCAGGAGAATGGCTTGAACCCAGGAGGCGGAGGCTGCAATGAGCTAAGATTGTGCCATTGCACTCCAGCCTGGGTGACAGAGCATATAATGTGTATGTGTGTGTGTGTGTGTGTGTGTGTTAAAGGCTTTCAACCTTAAGGGAAAAAAAAAAGTAAATATTTTACATAAATAGGAAAAGGTTTCAATTGAGAAAAGAATATATACATGTCAGTGCAATATAAAAGAGCTCAATGAGTAGCCTTAGAAATTTAAGAAAAGAATAATCAGAACCCCTGTATTCATCCCTGCACATTATTTTTAAAATTTCGTTTACCCAGTTCCCATGATGGAACCAGCACTGTTCCAGGTGCTAATGATACAACAATTAAGGCCAAGGCTCAGATGCCCCCAAGGAAGTAGCTTTAGTGTGACACTTTTTGTCTTTTTTGAAAAGATACTTTTAATCTCCTTTTTGAAAAGAAAAATGATTTGTCTTTTCTTAGTGATTTTCTTTTTTTAGTGATTCAGTGTAGTGATTTATTTTATTTTTCAAGTTAAGTATCGGTGGAATTTTTTTGTTTGTTGTTTTTTGTTTTTAGTTTTTTGTTTTTGAGATGGTATTTCCGCTCTGTCGCCCAGGCTTGAGTGCAGTGGCACGATCTTGGCTCACTGCAGCCTCTGCCTCCCGGGTTCAAGCGATTCTCCTGCCTCAGCCTCCCGAGTAGCTAGAACTACAGGCGTGTGCCACCACACACAGCTAATTTTTGTATTTTTAGTAGAGACGGGATTTCACCATGTTGACCAGGATGGTCTCTATCTCTTGACCTCGTGATCTGCCCACCTCGGCCTCCCAAAGTGCTGGAGTTACAGGCATGCACCACCATGCCCGGCCCAGTGGAATATTTTTTAAATAATGGTAAAGTACACATAAAACTTACCATCTTAACCATTTTCAAGTGTGCAGTTCAGTGGCATTAAGTACATTCACAGTGTCATGCAGTCATCACCACCACCCATCTCCAGGACTCTTTCTCCTCTAAAACTAAAACTCTACCCCATTTTCTCCATTCCAAGCTGTGGCAACCACCATTTTTTCCATCTTTATGAATTTGAACTCTAAGAACTTTGTGTAAGTGGAACCGTAGAGTGTTTGTCTTTTTGTAATGGGCTTACTTCACTTAGCATAGTCGATGCATGATTTATCCATGTTGTAGCATGTGTCAAAATTATCTTCCTCCTTAAGGAGGAATAATATTCCATAGCAAATATTACCACAGTCTGTTTATTCAATAATCTGTCAACGGACACTTAGGTTCCCTCCATACTCTGGCTATTTTGAATAATGCTGCTATGAATATGAGTGTACAAGTGTCTAATTGAGACTCTGCTTTCAGTTCTTCTGTTCACAAGCCCAGAAGTAGAAATGCTGGATCATATGGTAATTCTGTATTTAATTTTTTGAGGAACTACCATGCTTGTTTTCCGTTATGACTGCACAATTTTATATTCCAATCATCAGAGCACAAGGATTCCAGTTTCTATATATTATTCCCCAATACTTATTATTTTCTGGGTTTTTTGATAGTAACCCTCCTGATGGGTATGAGATGGTATCTCATGTTGGTTTTGACTTGCATTTCCCTAATGAGTAGCAATGTTGAGCACTCTCTTATGTGCTTGTTCTTTATTTTGTTGTTGTTATTGTTAAGTTGTGGGAGTTCTTTATTTTGTTGTTGTTGTTGTTGTTGTTAAGTTGTAGGAGTTCACTTTATCTGTTTTTACTCTTGTTGCCCATGCCTTTGGTGTCATATCTAAGAAATCATTGCCAAACCCAATGTCATGAAGCTTTTCTCCTGTTTTCTTCTCAGAGTTTTATAGTTTTAAGTCTTATGTTTGGGTCTTCAATCTATTTGAGTTGATTTTTATATACGATGTAAGGTAAGGGTCCAGCTGTGTTCTTTCGCATGTGGATATCCAGTTTTCCGGTACCATTTGTGGAAGAGACTGTTCTTTCCCCGTAGTGTGGTCTTGGCACCCTTATTGAAAATCAGTTGGGGTACATAAGGGTTTATTGCTGGGTCTCTTGTTCCATCATT